TTCCGAGACACCTAATTGATGTGCACAATCATGGAAGTTCTGTTGAGAATCTATTCAAATTGAAGAAATATCATATTTCTCTGGAATGAATTCTATCTCATTAAAGTGTTTTTTATCTATCTTTTTATTTGCAAGTCAGATGGAGTTAGCAGTCCGTCATTTGCACACCACCAGGATCTCTGAACAATTTAGAGTACTGTTTTCTAATATTTCTGCTAAGATTTATTAAGATACCTACTCGAGTGTGCCTTTTTTATCTTGTAATTAGATTCATGCTTAGTCACTTGACAGTTTGACATCATCAAGTGATTAGAGGTAATATTTTCCTCCGTGCTGAAATTACAAGAAAGAATGTTTTAAGTAGTATCATGTCAATGTTGCATTATTTTGTAAAGCAGTTTTTTTCATGTCTATTTCTCAATGCTGTCTTCTGCCTTTCTCTTGTATTTATTTATTTTTACTTCTTTTTCTTTTTCTTCTTCTTATTCTTATTCTTATTAATATTATTGGTATTTGGAATCAAATATCGTAGTTTGATGTCCATAATAGAGGTGCAAAAGCGCGTATTCACTTGCTTCAAGCTAATGCCTTCTCCATATTTCAGAGTTGCAGATGGGAGGCGATCTTTAGTCCTAGTAGTTCTCATTGGTGGGGTAACATTTGCAGAGATCTCTGCACTTCGTTTCCTCAGTTCCCAGGTATGCTCTTAATTTTCAGCCATAAATGGTACGAAATCTTCAATTAATCTTGTTGGACAGGGTCCTGACACCATGTTGACAGGGTTTTGAATTATGGCAGGCAGTTTTTGGAGGGAAAAGGTAGCAGCAGTCATTTTTTTGCTTGCTTTTCTCTCTCGCTCTCTTTTTTTTTTTTCATTGCCAAGTAAGCCGGGATTCAACTTGTAATTTGGACCTGTCTGTGTAGTGGGACTCCGAAATCTTATGTTCTTTTTTTCTTTCTTTCAAGCACTTAATAATGTCTATTGTTATATAGTATTAGTGGGTTAAACCATTGATTTAAGAATGTAACTTTGAACCTATTTCTACTTTCCATCCTCTGAATGTTTTATTTCTAGAGAGAGAATAAAACTTTTGTCATATACAATGTCATCTTTGAGTGCTTTCTTGTTATTAAATGTGGGATGATACTGAACCAAGAGTCCTGTTTGGAAGGGTTCTCGCTCAACTGATGATCATTTTTGTTTTTTGGGGGGTTGTGAAAAAAGTATCTTCTATATTTTTTGGAGTCCAACTATATGAATCCTTTTTCTCCACTTTGCACGGTTCATTGCTAGATCTCATTATCTTCTCACCTTCATCAATTTAC